CTACTTTAGCCATGCGATAATGGAAGTGATGGGAGAGCTTGCAATTGAGATAATGCGATCGCAAAGAGCTGCACCTCATCAGTGAGCGGACACTTATTCCTTGATGGCCGTTACAGAGATGAACAATGGCTACACTGGCTGAAGGTGCATTTTAGACCATGGAAAATAACTTCAATCCGCGTGGTTGTAGAAATAAATTCCGCTCCACAAACTGCCATATCACACAGCACCATGAGCATTAGAAGTGAAGCTGGGAAGAAATTACTGCTAACTTTGGTGACATTGGGGGAAGGTAGTACTCATGTTTGAAGGCGACTTGAGGTGCTAGCTATTGTCCACACGCTTTCGTTATGCATGAAAATATGGGATGAGGAAGAGCGTGCAACCTCAGCAACTGAAAGGCAAAGGTGATGCGCAGAAATTCATATGCGAGCATCACCTCACTGCTATGACACTTCGGACTTCCTGCAACCATTTGCTAACATGGCATTCAGTCGCGCACTCAAAGCTGTCTTTTACTAAATAAATGAGCAGTAACCAGGCCTATTGGGTTGACTTGAAGCTTCACTAAAGTTCTTGATTATGGAGACGCTCGCTAGGCCTAGTGAGAATATATTGGTGCGCTCGTTCTACCCCATGTCTGCACTACGCTCTTCTCCATCATAGAGGACGCAGACGTTGATTGGCCTCGGTTGGGAGATTTGCTGTTGAGTGACTACAGTTAGGAATGCCGTGCACCAATACCGCGGTAGTTGAGTGGCTAAAATGATTACACGTGAATCCTACTCTTCCACATTATAGCCAGACCAGTATGGATGTGGGAAGGTAACCACAGACACCTTGCTCATTTCCTCATGCATGACGGCACATGCCGAATATGCTTAGCTTGCCAAACACACCTTATACCATTTGCTCAGTCAGAAGAAAGTGGAAAAGAGAAATGATAAAATAATGCTACCTCTGTTGCTTCCATGGCACATTAAATTTTTTATGCAAGACGCCCGTTGGGACTGCTCGCCATTCATTTTGAAATGACGTCGTAGCAGTCTTATTTCAAAATCTCGATTCAGCTGACAATTTTTGCCAATTGATGCTC